TAATTTCATCATTTCATTTGACCCTACATCTACGTATTTTTAAAAAGTTGAAAAAGTAATTTTTCTTTTAGGAACTTCAGTTAATTAACCGAAGTATGGGTTACAAGTACGGCTGGGATGATTTTGGATTATCAATTAATAGGAATAAAATAAATATTTTCACATTTAAAATTGTATATATTCAATAGATAAGCATTTATTTACCCCTGTGTCTGTGAAAAACAAGCCCTTCACAAATTGTCAGAACCTAGGCTAACCTAGGCAGTTGCTAGTTGTTGTTTTTTTTTTTTTATAGAACAACATTTAAAAAAAACACTCAGTGTTAGTAGTATTTTAATTGTTGTTGATTACTTTACTGTTGATGGATTGATTGACTAATTGTTTCACCCCTCCATTGCACCATTTTAGTAAACTGTATTACCAGAAGATGAAATACCATGAGAGGGAAATCTTTCTGACTGACTGTGGATTGCAAGAACTGACTATTAACATTTTAATATGTCAGAAAATCACATTAGACTGTTAGATTGATTTAATCATGTCATTATGTTTTGAATAAATGTAAATTATTAACATTTGGGGTCCATTTGAATTAACCATCACCAACTTGAAATCTTTGCATTTAGAGACTAGGGGTGTAATGGTACACAGTTAGATATGTACCTTGGTTTTTGGGGTCATGGTTCAGTGAAATTTTGAAAAATTGAAATATTAGCTCATTAGTTCTGTTTAATTCTTATTGTAACAATTACTGCACTCAAATACTGACAATGTCAATAATTCTTGTGTCAATCTGACCTGTTCATTCCTGAACAACTGCAGCTCCAGTATGCAACTTATAGAAGTGTGAAATAGAAACTTGAAGCCTCAGAGTTCACAGACACTGAGAATGGACTTTACAGTAAAGTAGGAGACATCTTGTGTCCGGCATGAAAAAAAAAAAAAAGTTACATTTGTATATTCATAGATTCTGGTGGTTAGAAAGAGTAGATACCCTTTTTAAGGATTTATTTTGAAGAAAAAACATATCAGACACATTATTGTTCCAAGCAGACTATTTGTACATATGTCTTAATACATGTCTGGAGGGTACCTTTTTAAAATGCACACGTAAGGACACATTGAGTGTGGCTCAAATCTATGTTTAAATCTTGTATGTTCTATATGGTTGTATATCTGCAGCGATAAACCTCTGTAAAATGAGTTATTACTTTGGCACAGTCTGTATCTGCAGTGAGAAGCTGCCAGTCTGTTTTTGTCTCGTTCTGCTAATTGTCACATTCAGGTGATGTCGTTGTAAATGACACGTTTGAAGTGTTAACACAGAAATACCCAACTTCAATTATACCATGTCAGCATACAGTGTGACATTAGCTGCTGCCCATTGAGCTTGACCCACCCGGCTAAGCCAACTAGCATGCTACAGTTGATAGACAACAAAACTTTCCAGGTAAAAGTCGAACTGTAGAATTTCTGTTCTGCATCTGCAAAATAATAGACATAAATAGGCAATTTTTTCAGTACTTGTTTGGGTCACAAGGTGTATCAAACTGAGGCACTTGAATTTTGGGATGAATACACATACTGTTACACCCCTATTAGAAAGTATACACACCATTTGAGCATCCCAAGATTGCCTCAATAACATTTCAAAATATAAATATGAGTTTTTAATACTCCATTTGGAATCTCTGAAATCTTATTTGAAGATGTTGCACATTATTGCTGTTATTTGACATCACATTGCCTCATTTCACTGTGGCACTGTGTGTGTGTGTATATGTGTGGCTATTTGGCTGAGAAGCATTCGTGTGTGTGTACGTGTTTGTTTTCGGTGGGTAGTTAACGAGGCGGAGGTGTTTGCCTTGCTGGAGGAGTGTGTTGTGTCTGAGGACCCTATCAGCCCTCAGCCTAAGGCATGGCTGCAGGGCCTGGGGCGTACCGCCAGCACAGATGAGTTTGTTAGTGTAATTAAAGCTCACAGTGCTTCGTATGCCGGAACTAGACAAATACACACACGACACAAACACACTTGCACTCTAACACACACTCTTTTACTTGAGGAGTAGGTCCTTTTCCTCTACCACGGCATATCGATTCACAGACCTCATTAGTGCAGCACAGTGTATTGTTATAGTGACGGAGCTCTCAGCATTAAAACAGCCAAATTAGTGTGTGTGTGTGTGTGTGTGTGTGCGTGTGCATGTGCGCGCGCAGGGGTGGGTTTCTATCTCTTTCCATTCGTTTGGCACCCTCCTGTTGGCCGATAGCCCTGAAAAGTAGCTTTTAGCTGCAGGCGCATCATGATTTATTTAAAATGGCTGGGCCCTTGAGCTGTTGATAATTTGAAAGCCATTTCATTTATTTGTATTTTTATTTCTCTTGCCTGTTTTATGAAGTCAACTTTGTCATGTGCATGGCATATGTGCTCAGTATTGTTAAGTGTTTTTCTATATGTTTGGAGTGCTGTCGCAGCTGTACTCACACACACGTACTTGGATGTGCATTAACTCAAGTGCTCATCAGCACACATGCAGGTAGATGTAGGCACATTCGCTTATGTGATCTGGCACCAGTGTCACCCTAATTAAACAGATGTTGCTGTTGGCATTAACGCCCCATAGACGCTCTTTAATCTGCTTAAGGCTGAGTTGTGTTCTGGTCTTGCTGCATGACATTATCTCCAGGGGGTGGTGGGGTTTGGAGAATGAGTGCGGTACTCTTTGGCCTTACAGTGGCAGCGACTGCTGTGCTGCTTAGTTTGGAGCACAGTTGGTGAACAGTTGTGTAGGACAAACAAACCACCACACCAATGCTTTAACATACTGAATTCCATAATGAAATGAAACTTTCTTTGGTTTAGTGATTTGTTTTAAAAAATTGTACTAAAAAAAACATACTTTCTTTTTTCAAAAATTGGAAAAAACTTTCCAGATTTCTTAAAGCATCTGTTTATTGCTGAATTCATGGTGTAGCAGTATTCATGTATAAACATTTAAATTAGTAGTTGCTGTTTGTGTCTAAATATAATGTGCTATGTATTGTATTAATTATATAAATTCTTCTCACTGTAGGACTACAAGCCAGACGAGGACCCTGCCAAGTTCAAGTCAGTTAAGACCGGCAGAGGACCCCTTGGGCCCTCCTGGAAGGTAAAGTCCTTTGTTAGCTGTGGAATGTTTGACCCTGTATACCAGACTATTTAAAGGGTGTGTGTCCCTGGTCATTCTCATTCACACAAGACCTGGGTCAACAGCTGTAGTTTCACATATTTCACTAAATGAAGGTTGTAATAATAAAATGGAAAGAATATGGAATGTCTCTAAATCTGTCTAGTGCAGGCTGTCCTCCCCACAGAGGCCTATGCCAACTCTGAAGAAGCTCCAGGCTTCGGTGGCTGGGATGGGAGACACTGCATACAACAGTTGTTGGAGAAACCCACAGAAAACAGAAAAAACACTGTTGAAAACAAAACACATGACATTTTGGCTGGTGTTGCCAGATGTTATGTGAGCTTTTGTATTGTGTTGTGTTGGTGGTTGCAGCAGCATCATGCTGTGAAGATGCTCCTCTGCAGCAGATTTTGGAGAGCTTATGAAGATAAGAGGGTAAAATGAGTGCAGCAAAAGACAGGGAATCTTTGATGAAAACCTACTGCAGTCTGCAAGAGAACTGCTATTTGGGAGAAGATTTATTTTCCAGCAAGACAACAACCCCAAAATAAAGCCAAAGCTTCTCTGGAAATGCCTAAAACAACAATGTTGATGTCTTGGAGTTAGAGTCCAGACCTCAATCCAATCAAGAAGTTGTGGCTGGACTTGAAAAATGCTTTTCACTCACAGTCCCTAGGCAACTTGACGGTGCATGAGCAGGAAGAATGGAGAGAAATTGCAGTATCCAGATGTGCAAAGCTGATGCAGACCTATTTACGTGGACCCAAGTCTGTAGACTTGAAATGAATATACCACTACTACATTTGACATGAAATTAGTTACAGATCTTGTTTTTTTTTATTATTATTATTATTATTATTATTTAATTTAGATCCATTTGTAGAGATTTCTTTTTCCACACCATCACCACATTGCCTGTAATAATCAGAATAGCTCTGTGTACAGGAGAGCACAGGGCTGGAATTTGATGATGACAAATCACCTCATTCTCAGCTCTAATTGGATGTAATAAAATTTTCTATTCACCAGGTCAGATAAAGGCTCTACTCTGCCTGCCAGACTTTGTATGACAGCAGATGAAGAGAGAAATTGGAAACAGACTGTAAATGAACATTGATTGTAAATTTGACAAGCAGCAGTTCTGTTTAAAGACTGATGCACTTTTGATAAAAAGTAATAAGTCAATAAGACGTAGCTCATTCACACAGAGAAACTTTGTCAAGAGTTTTGTTGCTTTCCCCTCTAAACCCCGTTGTACCCTGTAGCCTCACAAACGGGTCCTGCTCACTGTTGGAGCACTGAGGATTTCTATTCTGCTGTGGAGCCCTCAAAGTTCACCATGGGAAACTTTCCTCTGCTTCAAGAATATTTGCAGAACAAAGGCAGCCAAACAGCTTTAAAAAGTGTGAATAAAGAAGCACAACTTTTTATTTTGTGTTTTTAATTAGATCACTTTCCCGTCCGCTGTGGACATGGAAAAAGACTGTTTTTGAAAAGGTGAAAAAAAAGTGGTTATGTGACAACAGAGGCACAATTTCTGCCAGCTTCTCAGAGCAATAAAACTCTTGTCTATCTCTGCATGCACACATGCTTGCATATCGGTACCCTTTGTATTTCTGAAAACTTCTGCTCCTTTGAGTGGGGCACAGAGAGGGAGAGAAGAAATGTCACCGTAAGTGTTTTGATGTAGAATCCGTTTCATGTGAAGTTCTCCTTTAGCGATGACAACTTTTCTAAACCCACTGCAAATTTAGAAATGTTTCTCATTTCCCCTCTCTCGCTCCCCTCCATGATCGTGGCATCAAAAGGCAGTGGGATGAGGGTGATTGAGGCGGGTCTGTGGCATTTTCTCTTGGAATGCCGAGCCAGAATGAAGTGATTAATTAAACAGGTGTTCTCTGAGGGAGAGTATGTGTGTTCTGGGGGCGAGCAGGTCCTAGGTGTTAATAATGTAACCAGCTTTGCACCGCGACACCCTTATCGCTTCGCGAGCACCGTTTTATCTGCCTTCCGTGGCCACAAAGGCATGCCTGTCGGGAACGGTGTCGCTGTCAGGGCGGAGGCAGAGAAATGGTCCCTTCATCTGGAGTTTATCCACTTTGCTCTGCCCCAGCCCCCCTCCTCCTTTTCCTCTCTTCTTCAGAGGGAGGCAGAGTGCAAGCAGCGGATGGATTTAGAAAGTGTGTTGTAGATTAGGGCACTTTTATCTGTGCACAGCACATCTTCATATTGATAATTATTTCAGCAAGCTCCATACCCAAAGCATTATGTATTAATGATTTTTAGCTTTGAATGCAGCCAAGATTAGTCTAAAATAATATTCTCTCAGCCTTCTGCTGTTTTTACGATTATGCTGTCATTGAAAAGTTTCTCTCAAGTTTTCACTCTGTTATTTATTCTGATACTGCGCTTTAAAAAGTGATGGGTTGTAAGTCTAGTCTTGTCATTCTTCTGCTTTTCTCCTGACAGAAAGAGCTGGTTAGTAAGACTGACTGCCCAAGGATGTGTGCCTACAAACTGGTCACAGTCAAGTTCAAGTGGTGGGGCCTGCAGACCAAAGTGGAGAACTTCATCCATGAGGTTAGAGTGACATGTTCACACAGTCGTCTTTGCTCACATGTTGTTCTCTGGCTCTGAGAGTTCCAGTCTACAGAAGCAATACTGTGCCTCCTTGACTGTGACTAGACTAGTGCTCGGTGATTAACTGCTATTGTAACATGATATAATATTGTGTGTGTTTTTTGTTTACTTTTGTTACTTAAACATTAGTGGGATTAATGTTATGTCATTTTACATGTGTTCTTTTGCATATTTTTAACATGCATTTTTAAAAATACTTTTATTAATATTATGATACTGCTTCCAACCATTCCACCCAGCCCTAACCAAGCCTACCACTGTCTCCCTCAGCAAGAGAAGAGGATCTTCAACAACTTCCACCGCCAGCTCTTCTGTTGGATTGATAAGTGGGTGGAGCTGACTATGGATGATATCCGGCGGATGGAGGCAGAGACGCAGAAGGAGCTGGATGAGGTGAGTGCATTTTTATTCATCCTTATTTCACCAGGAATGTCCCTTTTTAGGATGGTCAGACAGCAGCATAAGCAGCTTCACATAAAGAAAACAATGTTAGGTGTCAGGACACATGCAGTACAGTCAAGGTGCGTAAGTAACAATATCCCATAATTAAAAAGAGTGCCATGTGCATATGATGTACATTTAATGATTGGCTTTGTGCACAGAACTGTGCCCAACTTCAAGTGTGAAGGTATAAGTTGAATGGACAAGGAACATGCTAGCATGATAAGCATGTCGCCAGCTGGAAGAAATTCTGTTTTTAATTTGGAATTGATTTTACCTTTTTATTACTGTATATTTGAACCCAAATGCTCTTGATTGACTGAACAATTCTTAGCTTCATACTTCCATTTTATAGTCTGAATATTCATTTTTTTCCATTTTCCCCACTGCATGATTTGCTGTCCATTGAAAGTGTATCTTCTAATCCTTTCAAATATTTTGTGTTAAATCATAACGTTGTACTGTACTGCCATTAATATTTATGATTATTTCATACCTTGCATCCTACATGAAAACACTTGGTGGGCAGCAGAAAGTTGATTTTAACATTAATGTTGTGCTTTTGTGTACTTTTTCATATCCCGATCATAATAACTACTGCGCTGATGAAATAAGAAGTATTCAGAATATTGAAATGGAACCGAGGGATATTGATATCGACATCGACCAATTTCCAGATTAACACCACTCTATCACTGGCTTCCCAAAGAGTAACACATCAATTTAGCATGCTTTTCTCTGTTGACATTTTCTAGCACAAATATGACTTCCCTTGATCTCCATTGTATTTCTGAATACGTCTTGAAATGCATAATTAACAAATGAAAGAAACCAACTCAACATTCTATAAAGCTTTTCTATGGTGGCCTAGTCCTGGCTGCCCCCACTGGCTTTCTAATCCCCATTTCTGTGCTTTACTGTATGTCTAGATGCGTAAGAAGGGCTCTGTGCGAGGCACAAAGGCTGCAGACGAGTAGCCAGGCCAGGTGTAGCTCTGAGTTTTGCTGTGTAAGTTGTGACTGATGAAGGCCAGTCTCTTTGATGCTTTCACTGCTCCCTGTGGGTTTCTGTGTTACTGCACACCTATCCTGCCCTCACTCTGCACTCTTTGGTGTTGTGGAAGAGCTTTTAGTCCACTAAGTCTAATTGTGCACGTGCGTGTATGCTTTCACATACAACTCCAAAGTTCACTCTGAGGTTAATGCATAACACCAGATTTCAGGGAAGTATGATGTATGTGCTAAGTCGTGGGGTGTTTTGCTGACCCAGTGAAAATCTCCTACCATTGTGTGTGTGTGTGTGTGTGTGTGTGTGTAAGTGTGTAAGTGGCTTGTCCTCTGGACATATTCAGACATCTGGGCAAACTTTTCTCAGAATCACACATGCTACTTTTTAAGAGGTGGCCAGCAGTTAAAAACATACACGGAAGGCCTGCTCAAGACAAGTACCTGAAATCCAGAGCCTCCCCATAGAGGAATACCAGGCAGAGAAGAAAAACAGTCCTCTTTTAAATCACAGTCTTTAATTTCTGTGAATCACATTCTCTGTAAAACCTTACCACCGGTTTGCTCTTGGAGCTACTCTAAATATCAGTCTGGGAGCTCTTGGCCGTACAAGGAGAAAAAGGGAGGAATCCGGGCTGGACTGGCCAAAGTGGGCCAGACTCAAACATTCCTGGCTTACTACCAACATACAACATTTTGTGCTTAGCCCTCCCCTCTCACATCTCGCCCAATCCAGCATGTGTTTCCCATTTTCCCTTGGAGTAAGTAAACAGGCGGGTGCCATCAAAGAGGGCTGTGGTGAGGAGGCTGACGAGGCCTGAACCTCTGGGCTCAGGGGTCAGCAGGGTTACAGTTGGACTGTATGGGACGGCACAGTCAGTGTGACAGTGGCCACAGCCTACATACACTGACATTCAGGTTCTTGACAAGACTGCGCTGGTCTGCTACACTTTTTTTTTTGTGTGTGTGTG